AAATTTTATGAATAAAAATTGGCTTCAAAACATTGCCATCTTTTTTTCATTTCTTTCTTTCTTTCAACGATTTGAGCAAAGTACTGAAAAAAAATTACTTTAGTTTCTTTCCCTTTTCTTAACAATACGAAACTGATGTTAAACCAAAAAAAAGCTGAATCATATAATAAATACCTACCAGAGCAGACATTTTATGTCATAAAACAGTAATAGCTTTAAAAAAGCAGATAATCAAATACATCTTCTATAAATTGCAGTAATTCACCAAATAAAGCATAAAAATCACTCAAAAGCTTAGGCTTAAACTTAAGTAAAAACTTGGAGAAAATATAACAAAAAAAAAAAAGAAATTGGTTTAAATTAAAAAATTTTATAAGACTATTTAAAAAAAAAGAAAAAAGACAATTGCATTTCAAACAATTTTGTTCAATAGTTTATTTGCAAAGAATATTTGGCATTAGCGTTAATACAGAGAAAGGTTTTTAAAGTAATTATCTGTTGCTCTAAACAGATTATCAGCCTAAATTTCAGCTAAAAACTATCAGGTTGCCAAAAAAAACATGTGAAACTCTGTTATAATTAAACTTCAGTCTTTTTTTCTTAACTAAAGAATTGAATGTTTAAAAGCAGTTTATAAATCTTGATAAAGTTTGTACTAAAAAAAAAAAAGAAAAGCAAAAATTTACCTGGTCAACAATAGCTTTATTGACACCGTTATCCACAACGTCACCTCCAGCCAAAATTAGTTCAGGTTCCAGTTTGTCGATATCCAAACTGTATTGCTCCATGAATCGTTTGACACTTTCGTCGATTTGTTTTGCCGCAACTTCAGCTATATCCGTTGGTCTACATGTACTCGTCATTTTCAGTTTGTAAAACTTTCAACAAAGAATTTTTTGTTTTTTTTTTCATTTTTTTTTTTTGCTTTTTTAGGTTCAATTTAGAAAAGAAAACAACAGATAGTTTCAGTCAAATTTGATAACTAATTTTTAGACAGAAAAAAAATCTGAGTTTTCCCAATTTTTAAACTTGCATAAATTAATGTATCAATGAAACAAAACCAAACTGATCAGTGTTTTATTTCAACTTTTTTTTTCTTCTGCTCAAACTACCAGAAACTATAAGATTGATAAAAAAAAGTTTATTTGAAATGGAACTGAACTTAAAGTATATTACTGTTTTTAAGTGCTTTATGCTAACCATCACTGGTTTTTATACTTTTCTACAAAATTTTCAATCTTTAAAGTCACTGTTAAACAAAAAAGTCGTCTTTTTTTGAAATTTTTATCAATGATTTAAATATTTTGCATACTGATTAACTTATACAGAAAGAAAAAAAAAAGCAGAAATTGATATAACTAGTTCGTTTTTGTATTTACAAATATTTATTGTTAGGGAAGAGGTGCAAATAGAATACAGTTAACTTTCAAAAATGTTTCTACACAGAGAACAGAAGAAGAAAAAAAAAAACCTGACGATAAACTTAACCAACGACTAATGACTATTCTAAAGTTTTCTTTTTCTAACTTAAAAAAACAAAAAAAAAAAGTTTCTTGATATGTGTCAGAATACCTATGGTAGGCAAAAAAAGAGGAGAAGAAGAAGAAGAAGAAGAAGAAAAACAAAAAAGAAATACAGATAGTTGTAAGATTAGGCAAACCTGTAGAGAAACTTCACCAATTGTCTTACTCCGAATGGTGCTACATCACGTAGGTTAACATCATAGACCGAAGCCTGAATCAGTGCATCAAGTGGTAATCGTGATTTTGTCCATCTGCTACGTCCATCAAAATACGGGAGCGTATGCTTATCAGCCAGGATAATTACGTTGTCGTGGTCTGAAATAGCTTTTCTAAATGTTTGTTTTATTTCTGGTAGTTGATAACTGTTATCAACTATAAACTATTACTACAACTGCCTATAGAATGACCACCAAAATTTTCCGGCTACTAAAACTGTGATCAATGGTTGCAACAGAAATAAATGTTTATAAAAAAATTTGTTCCTTTATAGTCATATAGTTTCAAATTTTTAAATAAAACTTATAATAAAGTAGTTGTATAAAGCAAAAAAAATTTGTTCTCATTTTTTTCTCTTTTTGCTCGGCTTTATTATAGTATCAAATTCTTCATTATACAACAATTTATCGAATGACGAAAAGAGACACTTATTTTGATTCTATTTTTTTTTCTCTTTTTTGCATTTACGCTTTTGTTGCCGTTATAAAAAATTTTAAAGAAATTCGTTTTTTTTTTGCAGTTATACAATACACATTTAATGGCTTTTTTCTATCCCAAAAATTACAACTATCGTCAATTTCAAACTTCAACTTCTTCAATGGCAAAAAAAAAAGTTCCTTTGAAGTATTTGGTTGAAAACGATATAATATTATTTTGCAATTAAACAACAGTGATACACTCTTCTGATAAACAACAATAACTAAAAATTATGCAAAATTGAGACAAAAATTCTAGCAGAAAACGATGTCAGGAAGTGCTTTTTTGAATTGAGGTTTTTAAGGAAGCCAAAAGAAAGATCAAGAGCTAATAATACTAAAACCACGTTCAAAATACGTTGACCTGCAAGAAATCTAGAATCAGCTACCAAAAAAATGCTGTTGACTAAACCTCTACGACACAGTTATATGAGGATAATCTTTTATTGCTGGCAGAACTATAATTTTTTCAAAATAAAACTTGCTTTTTGCTTTCTTTTTATTTTTATAGAATTTTTTTTTTGATATTTCTGTATAAACTTTGCCAACTTTTGCATTCAAATCAAAACCCTAGACAATCTTTTTGAGCACCGATATTCAATAACAGTATTGTTGCACTAAAGCTACAAGAATACTATGAAAGTAGCTACAGATTATTTGCAGATGTATCAAGCTGAAAAGTCATAAAATTATATAACTGTAATTTAAACTTAATTATAATGTACCGATAACTAAAACATGACATTTAGTGTAAGAAAGGCATTACTGATCTCAAATTTTGCTATTTAAAAGTTTGAAACTAAATGAAGATAAAACCAAGATAAATTAGTCAAACGTGGTAAGTCAAAAAAAAAGAAAAGTTGTAACAGAATGCGGTTAGAACTGCTTTAATTACAGTTGCCCAAATTTGTTTTAATTTAAAAAAACCTTTTAAAATTTTATTAAAATTCTCTCTAATAACATTATTCAGTTTATGACTACATTTTTTTGTTGAATACAGGTAGCTGTCAAATGGAGAAAAAAAAACAAAGTTTTTCAACAAATATGATGGCAGGTAAAACTTTTCTTTTTTTTTCAAATCAAAATACTACCCATAGTTTGCATTGCACTCCGATCAAACCTTTCTCAAGTTTTACCTTCACATATAAAACTGTTTACTCACCAAACTGTTGAAGAGAATTTCAGGTCAAATAAATTTTTATTTCCTCATTTTTTTTTCTTCTTCACTTTTCTACACCGTTTCCGGTTTTGTGAACAAAAATTGAGAAATTAAAAACGCCTTTGTTGTCAGCTGATGAATGAGTCTTTTTTCTTTGGTCAAACAAAGAAAAAATATTAGAAAATGCTGTGACATTTAAATTTTTGCTGCCAAATATGCTATCCTTCTGTTTTTGCATTTTTTTATTGGTGTAAAAGAACTTGAGATAATTAAAAATGAACTGTTCAGCAGTATAAAAGCTTAACTAAGCAATTTTTTGAAATTTTTTTCTGAGTACTACTAAAATAGTTTTTAACAAAAAAAAAAAAAAAATTAAATTTTAAAAAATTTTAAAAAACAACATTTTTTATTAATTGCATATTATATTTTAATAATAAACACTCCATCTATGTTTTTTTAATTTGAACATTGAATGTTTTTTCCCCGACACAGTCGCTTCAAAGTCCCAAAGTTTTTGATGACAAATCCTATTACCTTGACTGAGCTCCTAAATAATGCTCTTCTCTAGTATTAGAATCAAACTTTAAAACTAGTACTTATTATTTTGAAATATATATAGTATGCTTAACACTTAAAGTCTAAACCTTACTTATTGAATTTAAGCTGCTACAATCTGCTTCATGTTTAACTGAATTTCTGTTTCAATGTCTTTTA